GATTAATTGTTGCTTTTTTTTTTGCAGTCGTGGCAGGCGTAGCACCAGAAGGTTCTCAGTTTGATACTCGCCAATTTGATACAAAAATGAATTGAGTTGTAAGTTTGTGCAATTTTTTCGTGTAGTAGCTACTTCAGAATCAGATGTTGGTTTATATATAAGAAGCATTAGGTCTAGCTTTCAAGTGGGATTGGAGTAAGGTACTTGTTTTGCACTTGCTGATGAAATGCTTTTTGCTGCTGCTACAGGCTGTCAACCGACGAGCTTACATGATATGATGAGGTTTATGATAGTTTTGATGCTATGGGCTGGAAGAAAATATTTTGAGAGGAATTTATGCATATGGTGAGTTTATATTATTCTTATCTTGCATATGGTTTTACTTCATATAAGCTGATTGTCTGGTTAGAATCATTCTTTATCAGATATGACATTTTTCTTTTGAATACTGGCTTTGAAAAACCATCAGCAGTTCAGCAGAGAGGAATCGTCCCTTTCTGCAAGGGTCTTGACATAATCCAACAAGCTCAATCTGGAACAGGGAAGACTGCAACCTTTTACTCTGGTATCCTTCAACAACTCGACTAAAATGTGTATTTACATGTTTTCCTCTACAGGATGGCATATAAAAGATATCTAATATTTCTAACTATTGATGAACAGCAAGCTTCAGTCCATGTCATTTATAATTCTTTAACAAGGTATAAAGGAAAACGTTATTGTTCAATACTTCCTATTGTTTCTATTTAGATGTCCAATTTTCACTTTTTGATCTTTTTATCTTTATTTTTTGGAGAATCAGTTTCAGATTGTGGGTATTTTTAGCTTAGGTTGGACTTATGGTTGCTAATATCTTTATTTAATGAAGTTGGTATTACAACGATCTTCTGATTTGGGTTTGCTATTGTTTGAGTTTGTCATGGCAAGTTTCTATGGTATCACGGCTTAAACATGATAATGTCATGGAGCTACTTGGATATTGTGTGGACAGTGGTTTGAGAGTACCTGCCTATGAGTACGCTGCAAATGGATCTCTTCATGGCAAGTGTTTTACCTCCTTAAAGTCTTTTTAGCAGTTCATTTTTGGGACCTATTTTTAAGTTGTATTGTATTAGATTTGCCAATGGAACCTTTGTCTTTGCATCAAGAAATTAGCTGTGAATGGAAACTTYAAAACTACATAATAAAAACCTTTATGCAYAGATGATAACTATTCCTAAGCTTGGCTGTTAGTGTTGTACCTGTTCCATTTTACTGACTCAGATACATGATGGATTTTGGAGCCATTTTGGTAGTTGAGTTTGTAAACTATTAATCCTATCCYGTAGTACARTACTGGACTGATAGACCAGTTGATGCGCCAAGGCTAATAAACTGAACTCTAAAATAGTTAACMTAATTCTATCTATTAACAATACAGATGAATCTTGACAAAAACTCATYTAGCATCAATGATAGGTATTGGACGTTTGTCYATCACCACAAGCTTGTTGAATGCCAGTAATGGACGCACATTAACCTTGATCATCGATTATGTAGCTACTGGTAGTGAAAAAGAGGTTTYTGAATTTTTTTCCAAGTACAAAACTAACATAGTTCTGTTTGTGGATGCAGGAYGGAAARGTGTTAAAGGTGCAYAGCCAGGTCCAGTTCTATCATGGTCCCRAAGAGTTAAAATTGTTGTTGGGGCTGCGAAAGGGCTTGAATACTTGCATGAAAAGGCACAACCTCATATTATCCATCGTGATATAAAGTCCAGCAATGTTATGCTTTTCGACAATGAATTGTTAAGATTGCAGATTTTGATTTATCTAACCAACCCCAGACATGGCAGCACGTCTTCATTCCACTCGTGTTCTTGGTACCTTTGGTGTGTTTTTAGATATARCAGCTATTACATGTTCATATTTTTAWAACATTTGACTTGTTCAAAACAACAAATTGCKCCTTATGTGTGTGTGTTTYGATACAGCAGCTGTTACATGTTCATGTAATAATACTCTAACTTGGTGAGATACTCTAATGTGTACATTGTGTTACAATATCAAAATGGAATCTGTAATGCACACAGAACCTCATTGTCAACTGCTGTTTTTGGGCCTTATGATCATGATGGAGTTATGCACCATAATGGCATGCTTTTTCTTGCTGTGTAGCTTGATTGTTATTACCAGCCAAACAACAGTTGTCCAAACAACAGCTGTAGCCAAACAGCAGCTGTCCAAACAGCAGTTGCAGCCAAACAGTAGCCTGTGAAAACATCATATGAAGAACATGTTTTTTTATAGAAAATTGTTTCTTGCCTATATGTATAACATGTTTTTTAAGATGGCAAGTGTTAGATTCCTTTTTTGATTCATCAATTCTCAAGGTTGACAATGCATTAGTGTTACTGGTTTGCAACTACCTGGTGTTATTGASGACCTTTTCTCTTATACAGGTCCTCTTGGTGCTATTTTCTCAAGTAAAGTAGTCTCACTTTTTCTATGGGCTCCAACCGCTCAAGTAACTTCACTTTTAATATTTACTTTCTGTGTTCACCTGAAATATATTAATATACCTATTTGAACTTCTTGGCTCATGTGTATCTTAAAATTGGAAGTACTAGCACTAATTTATAGTGGATCCTCTGGCGACGAAGCAAATGAGATTGTCCAACTTAAGGAGTCCGATGGTGTTTGGAGTGTGAATGGTCCAAGAAGTTGGGTGAGGTGCTATTATGTCTATGAAGTATCTATCTAACATCCCAACACCTTGAAGATAGAAAAATGTATTGCAAATAACCCATATGCCTGAGGGTATGTTGTCCCGGTCGTTTCTTTCCTCGGGTCATTACGATTATGTAGTGTATTTGCCCAGACACTGCTTTCTTTTCTTTGCTAAGCTCTCAGGTGATGGGAAGCGGACTTTTTTAGCCAATCTTGATTCTGATGCTTTAAAACCTTAGGAATAGGTTAATTTGGCAGATGAAAAGCCTGAGATAGCATATTTTTCTGATGTTAGTATCTATGAACTGCCTATAAGAGATTTTAGGTATGCCATTAATAAGTGATATTTTATGCATTTTAATGTCGAAATTACCTAACAATTATTATTAACTGGATGTTAAAAATGGCTAATTTATAAACTATGTTGTTATTGTGGTCAAAATACAAAATATTGGTCAGACCGATATTCGATATTTCGGTTATATCGATGATATATCGGTCCAAAATAGCGGTTAATATAATATTTCTTAGAATTAAAAAATATATATTATATATATGCATCCATAAACATATCATATGCATTAATTAGAGTTTAGAAATATAGTTTCAAAACTAAAACATCACATAAACAAGTCTCACAAAACAAAATAGGAAAAGTGTTCAAAAACGAGCTAATCGCAAACAATAAGCATGAACTGTGAAAGAACCGAGAAGAGAAGAAGCGTGAACTGTGAAGAACCGATAAGAGAAGAAGCGTGAGACTTAATATATGTGTTGACTGGTTGACCAAATAAAGAGGCCAAACATTTGTCTTATAGAAAAAATGGGTATATCGGACCAATTTTTCGGATGAAATATCGGCGATATTATCGGAACCGATATTTCACCACCGGTATTTTGGCCGATATTTCACCACCGATATTTTGACAGGGTTCGATATCCGATATATCACCGATATTTCACCATCGATATTTTGACAGGGTTCGATATCCGATATATTACCGATATCACTACAAGAAAAATGATCTTTAGAGAAGCTTTTCTTTTGTATTTAAAAGTTTGAAAAGCTTCTCTAAAACCTTTAAAGAAGCTTTTTACTTCCGTTAGCAACCTTTCCTATATAACGGTAGGAGAAGGTTTTAGGGAGGGTTTTCGAAGGGTACATTTATGTTGACATTTAGAGAAGCTTATTTTAGGCTTTGGAAACACTTTCAAAGCGTATCTAAAGGTTGGCCGAATTTTTTTGAAAAGCTTCCCTAAAAATATGTATTAGTGACGTTTTTTAGCATCAATGACAGTTTTTAAGCGTCACTAAAAGTTACCTTTAGAGAAGGTTTTTAGAAAAACTTCTCTAAAGATATATGCTTTAGTGACGCCATCTGCAAATCTTCTCTAAAGGCATGATTTAGTTACATTTTCCTTACCTTCTCTAAATGTTATGTTTAGATACAAATGATTGGAACGTTTGCTAAAAGTATAAGCTTTAGTTACACTCTTTGTAAACCTTCTCTAAAAGGGTATATGATATTATTTATATATATACATATATATATATAGTTCGTATTTCAGCTATATATATATATATATATATATATATATATATATATTACAATAAAATAAATAACACCAACCAAAAATAACATCAAAATACTAAAAAAATATAATTTTATATATTTGTCATAAAAGACATAAATTTCAAACAAACCGTAACGTTTTAACCAGTCTACATATTTGTTCTAATTTATTTAAAA